AAAATCTGTATTAGGAGCTTACCACCTATTGTTCCCCCAAAAAGCTCTAGTTTGGTCTTATCTGACCATAAAACTTTTTGTCAGAATGTTTCTAGCTTATTAATATAAGTTTTGACATATCTGAGATAAGCATGCTTGGGCTATTTCATAAGCAGTGGCTTTTTCTAGGCATTCTGCCATGAAGATCGGCATTGTTCAGATTTTGTCACTCTGTACATGTATGCGCATTGATTCCAATATTGGCCAGGAAGCATTGGAGAACCAAAAAGGTCACAGAAAGATTTGCCTGGGCTTGCCGAACTAGATGTCTGCTTGCTCTTTCTGTTATTTTTCGCAGACGGCCACTTCTTGATTGTCATGTCAAAGGCCTTTCATTTATGAATGATTTGTTTGAGAAATGCACTCCAAATCATTTTCATAGCATTTTGTAATCTTCTCCGTCATTATAGGTTTTAACTATGTGAGTTTTTAAAGCTTCACAAAGTTGTTTTGATCTTTGCATATATATTTTATTTATTTAATCTCTAACTGCACACATTGGCATGCACATTGAGTTATATTGTTTGACTGCACTATACACAGCTTGCTAAAAATAAATGACATGTGCAATTTTGATTTTTGCATGTGCATAAAAATTATTTGGACTGTCAACCATGTAAAATAAAAATACAGAGCATAAATTTAAGGGTTAACTTACCTTTGCACATCTTAATTTGTAATTAATATTTTTATTCTATCTTGATAAAAATGTTTGAAAATGGTTGTAATTCATTTAATAAAAGGCTTTTCTTAACGAATATATATATATATATTTTAATTAAGATCTGTTGATTATCTGGAAAAAAAGAGACACTTATTTTAAATATTATCTTAAGGATTCATTTATTTTTGCACAGTACTGTATATACACATGAATGCACACACACACACACACACACTATATATATATATATATATATATATATATATATATATATATATATATATATATATGTGTGTGTGTGTGTGTGTATATATACACATACACATATATATATTTAAATACACCCATATATATATACACACATATATATACATAAATACATGCACACAGATATATGTACAAAAATACACACATATATATATATATATATAAATACAAACAGGCACATATATACATAAATATAACACACACACACATATATATAAATATAAACACACATACACACATATATATATATATATATATATATATATATATATATAAATATATACAAATACATATATATACATAAATACACACACACATATATACAGATATACATAAATACACACACACACACATATAAATACATACGTATATATTCATAAATACACAGATATATATCTAAATACACACACACACACATATATATATATATAGCTTAATGAGAAGCCACGTATACTTTTTTATATGTATATATAGAAAAAACAACTAAAATGTTGCAAATTAAAAAAAATGTTTTTTATGAAAGTATTTATTTATATTCGATCTTTCAGAACGACCTCGATCTTTCTTCAGAAGAAAAATCAAGGTCGATCTGAAATATCAAATATAAAAATACTTTCATAAAAAACATTATTTTTTTTAATTTGCAACTTTTTAGTTGTTTTTTTTATATATATATATATATATATATATATATATATATATATATATATATATATATATACACACATACATACTCTCTCTCTCTCACTTTGAAATCTTTTATATGAGGGTCAAGTGACTCAGTTCCTAGAAACCGACACACAGTCTATCGGCACATATCATTTGATTATAGTGGTGAAGGGCTGTGCAGAACCAACCACACTTGTTAGAAGACCCAAAGACAAAGAACTGGTGCACATCCACAACTCTGAATTCAAAGTTTTCCTTCTCACATATTGGTTGCCACTGAAGACTAGAGAATCCAATCTTTCCTGCTGTTTTACCCATAGCCAGACAGGGGAGAAGAAGAGGATTCATACCTTTCCCAAGGCTAATATGACATAAGTGAATGTAATGGATTCAACTGGATATCAAAACTTGGCTCTCCGTACGAGCTGCTATCCATTAATCCTCTGTGCCAAATATATATATATATATATATATACATATATATCTTTTAGTATAGGATTGTTAATTAATTTGAAACTTTTAAAACGTTTTATATTCAACATCATCACTTGATAAGACACCGAGAGTGTTGAAACAAAATGGCTATTTTTGCAATGATTTTATAGCATACTTACGTTTTTATTTTTTTTATAAATAATAATTATATATATATATATATATATATATATATATATACACACACATATATATATATATCTTTTAGTATAGGATTGTTAATTAATTTGAAACTTTTAAAACATTTTATATTCAACATCATCATCTTGATAAGACACCGAGTATTGAAACAAAATGGCTATTTTTTACAATGATTTTATAGCATACTTACGTTTTTATTTTTTTATAAATAATAATTATATATATATATATATATATATACACATATATATATATCTTTTAGTATAGGATTGTTAATTAATTTGAAACTTTTAAAACATTTTATATTCAACATCATCACTTGATAAGACACCGAGAGTGTTGAAACAAAATGGCTATTTTTGTAATGATTTTATAGCATACTTACGTTTTATTTTTTTTATAAATAATAATTATATATATATATATATATATATATATATATATATATATATATATATATACACATATATATATATATATATCTTTTTAGTATAGATTGTTAATTAATTTGAAACTTTTAAAACATTTTATATTCAACATCATCACTTGATAAGACACCGAGAGTATATTTTGCAATGATTTTATATATTTTTTATTTTTTTATAAATAATAATTATATATATATATATATATATACACATATATATATATCTTTTAGTATAGGATTGTTAATTAATTTGAAACTTTAAAACATTTTATATTCAACATCATCATTGATAAGACACCGAGAGTGTTGAAACAAAATGGCTATTTTTGTAATGATTTTATAGCATACTTACGTTTTATTTTTTTATAAATAATAATTATATATATATATATATATATATATATATATATATATATATATATATATATATCTTTTAGTATAGGATTGTTAATTAATTTGAAACTTTTAAAACATTTTATATTCAACATCATCACTTGATAAGACACCGAGAGTGTTGAAACAAAATGGCTATTTTTGTAATGATTTTATAGCATACTTACGTTTTATTTTTTATAAATAATAATTATATATATATATATATATATATATATATATATATATATATACACATATATATATATATTTCTTTTAGTATAAGATTGTTAATTAATTTGAAACTTTTTAAACATTTTATATTCAACATCATCACTTGATAAGACACCGAGTGTTGAAACAAAATGGCTATTTTTTGTAATGATTTTATAGCATACTAACGTTTTTATTTTTTATAAATAATAATTATATATATATATATATATATATATATATATATATATATATATATAAATTATTATTTATAATTTATATATATTATTTATAAATAATAATTATATATATATATATGTGTGTGTGTGTACACACATGTACATAGTTATATACTTTATGTATGTATTTGTGCATATATATAAATACACACACATATGTATTTATGTATATATGTGTGTATTTTCTATATATGCACAAACATACATAAATATACACACACACACACTTTTATATATGCATACATAACTGCATGCACATTATATTTACATAAAAGCACACACATATATAAACTCAAACACACACAAACACATATATATTAACTAATAAACATACATGAACACACACACACACACACACATTATGAAAGTATATTTTGAAAATAACATCTGATAACACATTTCACATATATGGCTTTATCAGATGGATCATGGAAAATGTATTGTGTATGTATGCATTTGTGTGTGTTTAAAATAATTAAGTCTTATATTATTTTTCCTGAGCTGGCATTGCATGAAACCAAAAAAAAAAAAGTAATTATTTTAGACATCTCTTCTCCCACAGTTATGGGTTAAATAGCAGGACAGACTGGGTTCTTTAGCCTTGGCTGGCAGCCACTCTACCACAGAAAGAAATGGCAACCTACATGCATCCATTACACCATAACGCACATCCAATATAGTATCATGCTTAAATTCATAAACTCTAAGTACTATATATATATATATATATATATATATACACACACACATAATATTAGCAGAAGCACTAGACCTGATGTAGCAGCGATATTCAATGCAAGGATGAAAGGTAGACTTATAAATATGTAAGATAGATTCTTCTTTGGATTTTATCAAGAATTTTAAATATATAGCAAAGAAGACCAGATGTGACAAATATTCAAAGCAAGGATGAATGGTAGACTTATAAATATGTAAGATAGATTCTTCTTTGGATTTTATCAAAATCTTTAAATATATAAAGAAGCACCAGACCAGATATGGCACCAATATTAAAAGCAAGGATGAATGGTAGACTTATAAATATGTAAGATAGATTCTTCTTTGGATTTTATCAAGAATCTCTAAATATATAGCAGAAGCACCAGACCAGATGTGGCAGCACTATTCAAGGTAGACTTATAAATATGTAAGATATATACTTTTAACGATGCAAAATCAATTGAGTGTCAAAGAATTTTTTTTAGTTAATCCATTTTTTATTGCTTATCAACCCTTTGCAGGTTATTTAAAGCCAGGAAATATACTTAGATAGTAAGCGTTTTTTTTAGATAATAATGGTTTAGTGATACAAGTCTTACGAATTAATCCCTAGCTGGGGGAGAAGAGGCAGATTAATACTTTTCCCGAGGGTATCTGCATTTAAGTAAATATAACAAACCCAAAAGGAATTGGAACTTAGCTCTCCGATTAACAATTCTGAGCCATTATCCATTACACCACATGTATATCCAAGCTTACGACACCTGATATTCCCAAGTGTCACCCATCTAGGTACTGACTAGGCTCGATGTTGCTTAATTTTGGTGATCGTACAAAAACCGATGTTTTAACGTGCTATGGCTGGAAGCCATTTGCACTTTCCACCCATCCAAGCTGATAGCACTTGGCATTCCCAAGTGGTTTAGGTACTGACCAGCTACGATGTTGCTTAACTTCGGTGATCAGACGAGAATCAGTGTTTCAACATGATATGAGCATAAGCGCATTAAATGACCCGCACATCCAAGCTTACAGTGCCTGATATTTCTAAGTGGTCACCCATCTATGTACTGACCAGGCTCAGCATTGCTTACCTTCAGTGATTGTATGGGAAGCAGTATTTTAATGTGATGTGGCTGTAAGCCTGAGTGTCAAACAAAAAGTCCTTTTAAAAGTGCAGGCATTTAAAAAAGACAAGTAATAAATAACTTCCATTCTGGGATTAAGATTTGACCAAAATTGATTAAATGACCGAGAGGGCAAAAATGTCTTTATTAAAAAAAAACAGGAAAAAAAAAATTCAATTTGGAAAAAAAAAGAAAAAAAAAAAAAAAAAGGCAGCCATTTTTTATTCTATTTTTATTAGGTGGACATTTTTTTCATTCCTGATTTTTCTAATATTTTTTCCGGCCCCGTTTACAAATGGCAAACATTTGCAAACATGCCCATCATAAACTGATGAATATATAAATGTGAAAGTTTTTTCTTTTCTTTTATTGTAAGAAAAAAAAAAAAAGGCAAAAACATTACCCACAATGCACCTGTTGACAGACAAACAAAAAGAAATGAAATGAAAATATCCTAACTACAAAGTTATTACAATGCAAATATCTTTTATCCATTCAATGTAGAAAAAATAGAAGTCATGAAAATGATTTTTTTTTCTATAATTACGTTAAGTGGAGTTTAATTTAAATGATTGATGGTTCTGGAACGATAAGAATTGACAAGTGACGAGCCGAACAAATAATGCAGATGAGATAATACTGTGAATCTTCCTTTAATAAATTCATTTTTATTCATTTTTTTTTTATACGCTATATCCTTTTAGGACATGAGTAATCATGGCTCTCCACAACTTCTTTCCTTTTGTTGATACATCTTTTTTTGTCCATGTTTTTCCAACTATTCATTCAAATATTTCTTGATGTCTGTGTGGAATTTGTTTCAAAAGCTGCAGATATACTAGTTTTTTTTTTTGTTTTTTTATGTAAAATTCCCCAGCATTTACATCTTCCATAATCATGACCCCGTACCCCAACAGGGTCATAGGGTCACCAAGTGTACTACAGCCGCAGTAGAAGTGAAGTTTCTTAGGCAAGCCTGACGGAGACCAACCCTATTCTGACTGGTTTTGAATTTAGAGTTTTCCTTCTCCTAGATTGGCTTTATTACAATACTAATCATATCTTTTTAAAACTATAAAAATTGCCAAGGAGTGAGGGTGGGGTAGCTAAAATAATAAAAGTGTCAATAGAAAAAAAACATCGTTTTGATCTCCAATTTTTTTGCAGGCATGAAGGTCCAAGTTTGTCTACATTTCTTTAGCACTGTTGCAGGGATACCATCAAAGTTTATTTATTTATTTTATTTTATTTACTTATTTTTTTTTAAAGAAAAATTTTAGGAAATAACAAGAAAACTTTTCATTTAATTTAAAAAAAAAAAATTCATGGCCAGGCATAAGTATGTTTCCTTGATTAAGGAGCATTCCTTTGAAGGAAGATATTTGAAAAAGATCCAGGGTTTAAGTTAATATTTTGGCAACTTTCAATTATTGCACTTTCAAGAAGTTTTCATCTTATATATATATATATATATATATACATATATATATATATATATATATATATATATATATATACATATATATATATTTATATATATATATATATATACATGTATATATATATATATATATATATATATATATGTGTGTGTGTGTGTGTGTGTGTGTGTGTGTGTATTTAGGCAGCAAATTCTCTTTAGGTATGTCTGACTAAATAAATAACAAATATTATGTCTGCTTATTTTTATATTCACGGATATTTTTCCGTGTATTACAATCAAATGATGCAAGAAATGTGCTGGAAAGTACTTTGGAAATAAAAGTTATTTTCACTGTTCAGTGCATTTCTTGCATCATTTGATTGTAATACACAAACAAATATCCATCAGTATGAACAGATTATGCTAAAAATATGCAGACTTAAATCTGTAATTTATTAAATCACATACACACACACACAAGCACACACACACACATTATGTATATATATATATACTGATAAAAAAATAGAATTTCATCCAATATATTCTAATCAAGAATAGGTAATACCCAACATAAACTAGATGGTACACTAGCCAAAATTTTAAAACCTATTCTCTCAGTTAAGTACCATATATGATCCATGTTTGGGTAATCATGTCCCATTGTTTTATGAATGATTAGGCAAAAGATTTTCCCACGGTAGGTTGCCAACTCTTTCTATGGCTATAGGACCCAGTGTGTTCTGATATTTAACCCATAACTAGGGGGAGCAAAATGGATTCCAAGTCAATATCCATTATACCTCCAACACATCCATACAATTAGTTCTTCACACAAAAAAATACTCTGGAAATCTTATTAACAGATTAATTTATGAAAACAGATATAAAAGACAAATGTGTAGCCAGTTTAGATATAGTGTATATAAATATTCTTGTAACAAAATCAAAAATAAAATTACTTATCCACACACATAACGTCATAAAGATGTGCCAATTAATTATGAGTCATTGTGTTTTTCAAATATGACAATTTTTATAAACAAAATTTTGGCTTACTGATAACTTCCCCTGCTTTTTACCACAAAATTCTTCTTATTTTAGATACATAGATGATGCACTAATAATACATCCCCACTACACAATAATTTTAGAGTTCATAAATAGACTTAATAGCTTTGAACCTCTAATAGATTTGACTTTTAAAACTTATAACCTAGAAAAGGTTTACTGAATGAGGAATAACCAAAACAGAGGTTGGAAATGAAATAGTAATCTTTATAACATCAACAAAATACAATGCTCGCCAGCGCCGTGAAGTAGGTAAACCACTAGTGGTGGACTACTTAGACAGCATATTATACCCACTTAGTTTATAGGTACGGTATATAACACTGTCTATCTCAGTTCAGGTTCTATCTATCTATCTATCTATCTATCTCAGTCTGTTCATATCTATCTATCTATCTATCTCAGTCTGTTCATATCTATCTATCTATCTATCTATCTATCTATCTCAGTCTGTTCATATCTATCTATCTATCTATCTATCTATCTATCTATCTATCTCAGTCTGTTCATATCTATCTATCTATCTATCTATCTCAGCCTGTTCATATCTATCTATCTATCTATCTCAGCCTGTTCCCCATCTACCTATCTATCTATCTCAGCCTATTCCCCATCTACCCATCTATCTATCTATCTATCTATCTATGTCTTTTCCATATCTATCTATCTATCTATCTCAGTCTGTTCATATCTATCTATCTATCTATCTCAGTCTGTTCATATCTATCTATCTATCTCAGTCTGTTCATATCTATCTATCTATCTATCTATCTATCTATCTATCTCAGCCTGTTCCCTATCTATCTATCTATCTATCTCAGTCTGTTCATATCTATCTATCTATCTATCTCAGCCTGTTCCCTATCTATCTATCTATCTATCTATCTATCTCAGTCTGTTCATATCTATCTATCTATCTATCTATCTATCTCAGTCTGTTCATATCTATCTATCTATCTATCTATCTCTGTATGTTCATATCTATCTATCTATCTATCTCTGTATGTTCATTATCTATCTATCTATCTATCTATCTATCTCTGTATGTTCATTATCTATCTATCTATCTATCTATCTATCTCTGTATGTTCATATCTATCTATCTATCTATCTCTGTATGTTCATTATCTATCTATCTATCTCTGTATGTTCATTATCTATCTATCTATCTCTGTATGTTCATTATCTATCTATCTATCTATCTATCTATCTATCTATCTATCTCTGTATGTTCATATCTATCTATCTATCTATCTCTGTATGTTCATTATCTATCTATCTATCTATCTATGTTCAAATTTTATTATCTATCTATCTATCTATCTATCTATCTATCTGTATGTTTCATTCTATCTATCTATCTATCTCTGTATAAAGATTATCTAAAAACTATCTATTATCTATCTAACATCAGTAAAATACAATAGTTCATATCTATCTATCTATAATGCCTCATATGTAATTTACATCTATCTATCTATCTATCTATCTATCTATCTATCTGCTGTAACCTAGGAAGGGTTACTGAATAAAGAATAACAAAAACGGAGGTTGGAAATGAAATGGTAATTTTTATAACATCAACAAAATACAATACTCGCCAGCAGCATGAAGTAGGTAAACCACTGCTAGTGGTGGACTGCTTAGACAGCATATTAACCCCACTTATAACAACGTCCAACATAGTTATAAGGATTGGGACAAACCCATTAGTGTTCATAGGTACAGTATATAACACTGTCTCAGTTCAGGTTTTATCTATCTATCTATCTATCTATCTATCTGTTGTAACCTAGAAAAGGTTAATGAATGAGGAATAACCAAAATGGAGGTTGGAAATGAAATGGTAATCATTATAACATCAACAAAATACTCGCCAGCGGCCTGAAGTAGGTAAACCACTGCTAGTGATGGACTACTTAGACAAAATATTACCCCCACTTGCAATAGTGTCCACTGTATTTATGAGGATTGGGACATGACCATTAGTGTTCATAAGTACAATATATAACAGAAAGCAAAACTAATAATACATTACCTTTCCTAGATATTTAACAAAACCAATGATAGTTTCCAACTAAAAGTTTACAGAAAATCTACCAACAAGAATGACCTCATAAACTATTATTTTCACCACTACAACAAAAGAAAATTTGAAATAATTATAGAATTTTGCATGAATTTAAGTTCACTAATAGGATGGCATCTTGGTCCCACCCTTTCACTGTTGAAATGACTAAATGT